ATAATTTATTTATATTTATTTTTTGTAAATAAACGTGTAATTGTACATAAAGTTTCTGGTACATTCTACGTTATAATGAATCTAAAATTAGTAATCTGATTGTATGTGTGTGATTGTAATTTTCTTTTGTAGATAATCATCTAATCTACAATTAGTAATTTTTATTATGTGATCAACACTGTACAAATACCCATCGATTGTGCCCAATTTCATGTTTCTCACCCTTTTGTTCGTGATTCTGACCAGAGGAACGATGAAGAATACCTACATCTTAATATCTGAACAGGGAGAAGCGTAGTCTCTTTCGCAGAGATGAATATGATGTGAGGCAGCGAATGACGCATGAGATAACCATCTTTTTGGTGAAGTGTATTCATGTTTCTCTGGTTAACATGAATGAAACGGTCAATTTTTTTTTTTACTTCCTTTTAAAATCCAACGAGAACATAGTTGTGTATCCTAGTGCGATTCTTGCCAAAAACGATGATAAGAGTTGCTGGTATCGCTCTTTGAGTTGTGCTGTCGGGTAAAGTTTCTCAGTAACTATCGTGCGTGTTCATGTTTTCTCGTACGTTTTGCGTGAGAGACAGAGAACCAGTCCGTGTAGCTCTACCTAGAATTTACTTGAGTTCTGTGGGAACTGAGTCTCTCAGAACGATATTAACGGTAGCATTTCTTGCAATTTCGATGGCTGGCCTCATTAAGCCGGCTCTTCTTTCTTGGCGAATGATGAGCGAAGTAATCGATAAGAGACATGACATTTTATAGTCTGGTGGTCGTCTTGTCTCTCACCCTAAAAGGATTGAAGCTCTTGTTCTTTTTTTTGAGTCGAGTGATATGTAACCTCCATGTTTGGTTCGACTCGGGTAATGTGTTTTTATTTTTAAAAAAAAACGCAGCAAATACATATCAAAACTTTAATAAAATACAGAATATCTATTTCTATTACCAGTCTTTTTATCATGTTCTAACTTGAAGTTTATTGCATTTTTCTTTGTTTTGAAGCATTTGCTTTTAGGTTTTTTGTTTTCAAACCAAGTAAATGACCAACTTTTACTTTTTTTATGAAATGAAATTCCATTATACCCTGATGTATTAGGTTTGAATAATTTACAATTTAGTTGATTAATACTTTTTATTCCATCTCTTATATTTACTTCTCGATTGTCTAAACCATTTCGTGAAATATGATCAACTATTTTAAAATTTGTGATTAAGCGATGAAAATATAAAGTTGTTCTTTTACTATTATTTGTATAATATGTTGCAATGTAATTTGTATTTGTTCCTGTTGTTTTTACTGATCGCCAAGTGTAACTTGTTAAATATTTGAAGTTTTTTAAATCAGTTAAAAATGTAATATCTGACTTTTGTGTTTTGACTTCCAGATAGAGTTTTGTATTGATTTTTACAAGACGGTATTCATTCAATTTGAGTTTTGGTTTGTTTAAATTTTTGTATTTTTCCCAATTTGTGATAACTTCAAATGATGGGAATTTCGATTTCCAGTATGATTCTTGCACAATGTATTTCCAAATGTAGATGACTATTTAGTTTATAAATAAAATGTATTTTGTTTAAAATATTTTTAAAAATGAAATGAAAGAGAAATTATCTTATAGAATATAAGATTATCCACCCTATTTATCTGGTTTTCAATCACATCTTTGATTCTTACACTTGGATTTGAACTACAAAAGTCAAAATTTTACAATGCTGCGATAAGGTATGGCTTGTCATACGGGCTTAGTGTCTCTAGCCATTTCCTCACTTTGAAAGACAGTAAGGGTTGTTTCTGAGTCGACTTTGTTGCGAGAACAACTCAACACACAAACGAGAGAATGCCTTTATGTGGCTTGCGTGATGAGTAGTGTACTTTGTCAAGTGCACGAAACCAAATTCTCTCAACTAATAAAAATTTCTGAGTTTAAAAAAAATATATAATTCCTTAGTTTTGCTTAAGATTTTATTAAAATTAACAATTTTCTTGATGGTTAACAAGACAAAAACAACAAATACCTCATGTCTGAGATGCCGAAAACATAGAAGAAAATGTGTAAAATTAAAAGATAATCCAAATGTTTGTGTTAAATGCAATGAAAAAAATCTACAATGTGTTATCTATTCGCCTAAATACAAAGACCAAGAAATTGTACGTTTAACAAAAGAAATAGAAGAATATAAAAAAGATATTATTAATTTGAAAAATAAAATAAAGAAACTAAAGATCAAATTTACAGAATATAATAAGAAATAAAGACAAGATTAATTTGTTAGACAAAAGTTTGAGTGAAATATGGAACACATTTTAGAATAAAATAATAAATTTTATTAAAAAAATTAATAATTTTTAACAATATCATAAAGGCTTGCCAAATGTTGACTTTGTGCTTTCTTCGCCAGATGAATTCTAATAAATGTTTTTCAATTTTGTCTTGATTTCTATTTCTTTCAGCAATTATTGTCTTTAGTCCAGCCCAAGTTCCCTCAATTGTGTTTGTGTGAATTCCGAATATTTCAGACACATTTCTCGAATGATTTACTCTTCTGTGAATAAGATTTAATCCTCCAAGCTGGTAGCCTTTCCACGAATCTGTGAACACAATTGATTCTGGTTTTACGTGTTTCTTGATGATTCTTCTTAACGTGGCTGTATTTCTATCTTCAACCACAACAAAGAAGCATTTTTGTTCTTTGGTTCTTTCCACACCTCCAACTACCCAAAAATTCTTGTTCCTCTTGAACTTGCTCTCATCTATCTCCACGATGATATCCTTTCCACCGATGATCATGTCATCTTCCTTCAATGTGTTTATGACTAGATCTCTGAATATTTTAGTATAATTTACTATAGTATTGGGCAAATGATTTGTCATAATACTAATAGATGTATAATTGATTTTTGACAACCAAAAATATGCAAGCAACAGTATATCTGAGCTAATAATATGATGTTTAGCAAAGAATGAATCCTTATAGATAGAAACTGCTTTATGACAATCTTGATTTTTACATCTAAACAATTTTTTATTTTGACGTAATTCTGCACCACAATACGAACATTGAGAAGGAGTTTGAATAATATTATTTGAAAATAAATAATTAATACATGTTTTTTCTTTTAATAAAACTTTATAAATTTGTTTAATATTTGGTAAAGACATGATAAAATATATTTTATTTATAAAAATTTTGATACAATAATATATTTATATAATAAAAATAAATTTATAATTTTTTAAATAAACCTTTCATCCGTTTAAATTCTGGATTATCTTTATTTTTCTGTTCAAAATTTTGATAAACATTTTCATCAATCTGTTTGCGTTTCTTAGAATTTTTTAGTACATCTTCAGAAATATCAAGCTCGATACCCGATTCATACAATTCTGATTCTGATAAAAATTCTTCTCGATCTTGTGATTTGTTGCTTAAATCTACATAATTTGATTGGATAATAGCTTGTTCAAGATCTGCTGATTCTTTTTCTATTAAATTTTTAGTAACGGAATCAACAACTGATTTGCTTTTCTTTTTTCTACATGTATAATTTGAATCATCAGAATTAATATCTGATAAATCTTCTTCGCTTGATTCTTCTTCTTGAACCTGAATATGAGATGTGCTAGATTCAATTTGTGAATTCCAGTTTTCTTCTATATCCATATTAACCTCGTTATTTTTTGTAGTATCAGATTCAAATAATTCTTTATATTTTTCTTTATGATCAATTATTTCAATTTCTTTACTATT